GCCCTTCTGCAGCTCAGGGTTGATAAAGACCCTAAAATAGCTGAGGGACCTCTCTGAACAGGGAGCAGAGGGGCTTTGAGAGAGAAGGATAGGGGAACTCAGGGGAGGCAGAGTTTGGGCAATCAGGCTCCACAGACTTCCTGCAGGGAGATGGATGTGTGTGTGTGTGTTGCAGGGGGTGGGCAATGGGAGTTAGAAATAGTGCATAAACTCACCATTAAATTACCCTATTGTTCATTTTCAAGAGCATAGCTGTATTAATCTGATAAGTAACTACAGTCTTGAGAATCAAGCACATTTTTATTGTCAGAGAATTTAAAAAAAGGCAAGCTAGAAAAATATATGCAATGTAGTGACTGGACTCTCAGCTCCATGAGAGAGAGAGCAGGATCTTGACTGGGTTGCCCTACTGGGTTCCTGTTTTTGTGTGTGTGTGTGAGGAAGATAAGCCCTGAGCTAACATCCATTGCCAATCCTCCTCTTTTTCCTGAGGAAGATCGGCCCTGAGCTAACATCCATGCCCATCTTCCTCTACTTTATATGGGATGCCGCCACAGCATGGCTTGACAAGCGGTGCATCGGTGCGCACCCGGGATCCGAACCTGCGAACCCTGGGCCACCGGAGCAGAGTGTGTGCACTTAACCACTTGTGCCACTGGGCCGGCCCCCAGGTTCCTGTTTTAAAATGTAGGTTTTATTATTATTCAGATATGGTGAGGCCAACCGATCAGGAGATGACTGCCATTGGGAAGATGGTTTGTTACTCACAGTTCCTAAGAGGAGAGGCAAACCACACCATGCAGGGCCACACAGGGAAGCACCAGGGTCCATCAGGAGGCAGAAGGAGCAGAGAATTGGGGAAAAGTGGGCAAGAGCCTTTATTGCAGTTTCTGCAGGAAGGAACAGATGAGGTGGGGTAGTAAGGGTAGTTAGGATTGGCTAGTTTGAATAATTCCAGTGGGCTCTGGGGCATAGAGGCTGTCCCTAGTTGAACCTGGCCCTGGGTGATTAGGGCAGAGGGATAGTGGCCCAGAGTGTGGGGGGGTGTGGGCTCTGGATTGGTTAGCTCGCATGTGAAAGGTCCTCCCAGGTGAGACCTTTACTATCTCTAGGAATTGGCTAACCCTTGGGGAGGCAGTCTCTCCAGGGTCAGCAAGACCCCAGAGGTCAAAGTGCCAGAAACAAATGGTTAATACAGTGCCCAAGGTCTAGAACAGGTTCTGGTACCACTAGGGGTTCAGTGAATAGTGCCCAGTGAAGCAGGAAGGAAGGGATGAGGGAGGGGGCAAGCAAGTTGGCTTGCTGAGGACACCTCTGATGCCTGTACCATGCCCTCTGGCCCCTTGGGCTACAAGAGAACTCTTTCCCCCTCCCCAGCAGTCCAGGAACTCTCCTAACAGGCAACTCAGATCCCTGATTATGGAAACACATCAAATGGGCTCACCAGGGGCAGATGTGGCAGCCATCTCAGCCTCCAGGCAGCAGCTTTTCCATCCATCCACACTCATTACTCCTTTCAAGCCTCAGACTCAGACAAGATGTGGTTGTTGTTGTTTTGTTTTTTGGCGTTGTTTGTTTGTGGATAGGTAATGCTGCACAGAGAAAAAATTCAAACAGCCCTAAGTGCTGACAGTGAAAAGCAAGCCCCCCACCCTGCCTCCACCCTCCCCTTCCCCAGCTCCCCTTCTGCACTGTGCTCCGTGCATCCCAATGGAGAGAGTCTCTGCATGAGAGCATAACAGTCCATCTCCCATGCCATCAAACAGATATGCGTGACATACACACTGTTCTCGGTTTTGCTTTTTTCACTTAACAATACATCCTGGAGCTTATTCCACATCAGTTCATATGGAACTGCCTCATTCTTTTAAAGGCAGAATACTACTCCGTAGTTTTGGATGGGCCCTTGTGGATTTAAGCAGATCCCTCCTGGTGGACAGACATCCAGGCTGTTTCCAATTCTGGCTTCTATAAACCATGCTGCACTGAATAGCTGTGTATACATCCTCATGCACAGGTGTGGGTATCTGTAGGATAAATTCTGAGAAATGAAATTATCTTGTGGAAGGTACATATGTGCTAAATTTTCAGGTTGTTATCCAAAGAGGTTGTATTGATTTACACCTCCACCATTGTATATGAAAGATAACAGGTCTGTGCGACTTAATGCTTAGCTAGGATGGCAATTCTTCAAATCTTGGAGTCTGGCTGGGAGATGAAGCCTGGGGTATCAGGTTTACAATCAGTCCCAAGCCAACCCTCTGACCCTGGGGGCACAAAATGTGCCCAGGAGTTGGGGAGGCAATCAGGCCATCTCTCCAGACCTCAGTTTCTTCATTTAAAAATGAGGATAGGACTCTTGAGCTGGTGATCTGAAAGTTCCCTTCCACCTCTAACCTTCAAAGTCACTCTGTCTCCCCAGGCCTCTGTGTTCCAATCTGTAAAGTGAGACTTGTCTCTATCTTATTTATCTCACTGGGTGATGCGAGGATGCAGAGATGGTGGACATGCCAGGAAAGTTGGGTACTCTGCCAAGGGAAGGGGTAATAATTAAACCCTTGCCAGACCACTAGCATGGCCTGGGGCATACAACAGGTACTCAGTTAAGTTTTAGGCTGGAGAAATAGTGTATGAAGAGGCAGAACAATGTTGGGACTGTCCAGAGGTAGGAGAAGCCTTCACTGATATTGTTCCCTCTGCCTAAAATGCAGTTCCCTCTAAGTGGGCCTGTCTGTGTCTCTAGGACTGACCAAGGAGCCTGGCACACAGTGGGTGCCCTTAAATGCTTCAGGATGGAGCTGGCCCAGGACTAGATGTGGCAGTGTTCTCTTCCAATGCATTGTGTGACTTTGGGACTGATTGGGGGACAAGCTCTTGGCATCTATGATTTGTTCCTCCCTGCATCCCCTCCTCTCCCTTCCTTTGCCCAGGTGAGTGGACCCCAACAGACTTCTGGTCTAGGGGCCGCAAACTCTAATGCCCCTCCTCAGTGACTGGAGCAACACACTGGGAGGCAGTAGGGAGTGGTGGAGAGTGTGGTGACCAGGGGCAGCCAGGCTCAGCTCCAGTTGGCTGTTGTCAGGAGGAAATGCAGGTCCACCATTTTTCAAAAGATTTTCAAGTGAAGCCATAAGTCCAAATTTTCCTGGTTTTTAAATGTTGGTTATTCAGGTTTTTTCAGAACATTGTGGGAGTCAAACAAAACCATCCGTGAACTGGTGGTAGCCCACAGGCCACCAGTTTTGAAATTCTGAAAACTCTCCCCTTCTCCCATCGTACAGATGAAAAAATTGAGGCCCAGAGAGGAAGAGGCATTTGCCAGAGGTGACAGTCAAGATCAGAGCCCGGGTCCCACTTGGCCCCTACTTTCTCTCTTTCTCTCCCCCTCCTTTCTCCCTCTCTCTCCCTCTCCCTCTCTCTCTGTTTGGACTCGCTTTGTCTCTCCATCTCTGTGGTGTCTCCTTTTGTGTGTGTCTGCTCTGTATCTCTCCGTCTCTCCCTGTGTGCGTCTCCCGGTCGTTGTCTCCCTGTCTCCTGTTCTTTCCTATGTGTCTCGTTTTAATCGCGTGATTCTCTCAGTATCTCTCTGTCTCTCTCCGTTCCCTACACGAGTGATCTCTTAGACAACAGACCTTCTGAGCTGGGTGCAGAAGCGACGCTGCCCAGCACCCCAAGCTGCGGCTCCCGCCCCCTCGCCGCCCCTCCCGCCCCCGCCCCAGATTTCCGGCGGAGCTGGCGGGCGGGGTACCCACGGGGCCGACTGCCGTCAGCGCCCCTTCCCGGCGGCCGCGACCCTCCGCGGTGACCTCACCCGCGCCGCCGCCTCGTGCGGATATAAGCGGCGGCCCCGGCGAGGACCGGCAGCCGGCGCCCCGGGTCCTGCGAGCGCTCCTGGACTCCTGACCCGCCGACTCCAGACCTCAAAGCTCCCGACTCCGAGCCCCCGAATCCCAGACCGGTCCCGCGGAGCTCGCGCCGGACAGGTAACCTCTTCGGTCCCCTCTCCCCCTCAGGCGGCGTCCGGGAGCCCAGGGAAGGGGGCCCTGTCGGCCCGCCCTCGGGTGCGCCCTGGGGAAGCCGCGGCTTTCGTGCCCCGAGAGCCTCCCGGAGCGCGGCATCCGCGCACAGGTGGGGCGCTGCGCTCGCACCCCCGGGTCTCAGGGCGCGGGCGCGCTGGTGCCTTTCACTCCTGCGCGCTCGCGTCCCGGCGTCTGGAGCGCGCGGCGCCGAGCTTCGGACGGGAGGTTCGCATCCCTCCTCTGCCTGGACGGCAGCGTTAGGTCCGCGCCGGGACGTGGGGCAGAACCAGGCAGGCAGGGCGTCGGCGTGAGAGCCTGGGAGTTAGAATCCGAATCCGGACGTTAGAAACAGAATTTTCGCGTCAGAATCGAGTCTTAGCCTTAGAATCTCAGTCTCAGCTCTAGAAATAGATGTTAACGTTGGAATTAACGTTGAAATTAGGATTTTAGCGTTAGAATTAGATTCCTAGCTTAGCCATAGAATCTTAGCATTAGAAATAGAGTCTTAGAGTTGGAATCAGAACGTTGGCGTTGGAGTAAGAGAGTTGGAGGAGTGTTGGAAGAAGAATGTTGCCCTGGGAACCTTGGGGGGAATCTTAGCCTGCGTCGCAGCAGTCAGCATCCTGGCCGTCGGGCCGGCGCTGCAGCCTTGGTGGTTACGCTCCTGGCGAGTCAGCCCCTGGTAACACTGGAGAGTGGCAGTGGCAGTGGGCTTCCCACGGGCTCTTGGCTCGCGCAGGCAGAACCCGGCGCGGACAGGCACTCCAAGCGTCTCTTTGGCTGAGGACGCCAGAGCCAGAGGCAAATCCTCCCGCCGCCTGCGCCCCCAGCCTAAGGTGGCAGGTGACCCTGGTCCCGGGAGGGTGTTTGAACGGCTCGTCACCCCGGCCTCGGGACCCGCTGGGACAGCAGAGGGGGAGGGGGAGGGGTGCGAGGCGCGGCGCGTTTATGCTTTCTCTCTGTCCTTCCGACCCCAGACGCCGCGATGCCGAGCCCTTGGTTGCTGCTCGCCATTGCTTTGACCCTGACTCTGACCAGTGTCTCCGGCGACCGCACACAGCCCGAGGTGGCCCAGCAGGAGGCGGCGATGGCCGCCGAGCACCCGGGCCTGGACGACCTCCTGCGCCAGGCGGAGCGCCTACTCCTCCTCCGGGAGGAGCTCCAGCGGCTGCGAGGGGACCAGCGCGAGCGCGCGTCAGGTGAGGGGCGGGCTGTCCGCGGCTGCCGGGGCGAGAGGCGGCGGCGGAGAGGGCTGGGGGAAACCGACGCCGAGAAGGAGTGGGCCACTTGGTCATCCAGCCGCTTGCCTTTGAGAAGCTCAGAAACTCTCATTGGCCACACTCTCGCAGGGTCGTGAGCTGATCATTTCCCGGGATCAGATTCCTATTCCATCTCAGTCCTAGGAATATGTCCCAGAGAGCAGACCTTCAGTGGGGAAGATTCTGTGCGGGGGAGAGAGTCTCTTTGTGCTGACAGTTTTAGTTTTTACTTAGTAGGCAGGTATATGCCAGGCACTGTTCTAAGCACTTCAAACACTGTATCACACTATTTAAAAGGATCTTCCTAACAGCCCCATAGATAGGTACTGTTATTACTCCTGTTTTGCACAGAAGAAAAATGAGGCTCAGAGAGGTTGAATGAGTTGCTTGTGGTCACACAGCTAGGGAGTGGCAGAGCTGGGATTGTGTGAGTGTGTGTGTCTGTGAGTCAGGTGCAAGGCCATGACTTTGGTTGAGTGTGCGGGAATCTGCCTTGACTGAGAGGAAGGCTGGAGTGGGCACTCAGGGGTCAGGGGGTCCCTCACCGGCCTCTCTCCTTCCCCAGAGTCCCAGATCTTTCAACCTGACTGGCTCTCCAAGCGTCAGCATCCAGGCAAAAGGGAGGAGGAGACAGAGGAGGGAGCTGAAGAGGAGGAGGAAGAAGGAGGGGCTGTGGGACCCCACAAGCGGCAGCACCCCGGCCGGCGGGAGGATGCGGCTGCCTGGTCAGCTGATGTAACCCAGCAGAAGCGGCAGCACCCTGGCCGGCGCTCCTCCTGGCTTGGGTACACTTTCACCAAGAGACAGCACCCGGGCAGACGGCTGGTGGATCCCCAGGCCCAAAGGAGTTGGGAAGAGGAGGAGGAAGAAGGGGAGGAGGGAGAGCTGATGCCTGAGAAACGCCAGCATCCGGGCAAGAGGGCCCTGGCAGGCCCATGTGGGCCCCGGCCAGCCTGTGGTCAAGCCCGCCTCCTGCTGGGGCTCCTGGATGACCTGAGCAGGGGCCAGGGGGCCGAGGAGAAGCGGCAGCACCCCGGGCGGCGGGCGGCCTGGGCCAGGGAGCCCCTGGAGGAGTGAGCCCGGTTTCCTGTAAAGTCGAGTTTGGGGTCTAAGGATATCTTGAGCCCTCTGTGCCCTATCCCTTTGTGACCCTCCTCTTTCCCTCCTCCTTAGATCCCTGACCATAAACCTGAGCCCCTTGTATACACACATGCATATTACTCCACCTTGCACCGCTGGCAAGGGAGCAGATCCCAGAGTCTCTCTCCTGTCACCCCCGCAGGCCTGCTCCCCTTCCTTAGCCATGGCTACAAGGACCCTTCTGTGTCTTCTAAGGAATCTCCAGAGAGGGGGCTGGGGGCTTCTGGGGCCAGCAGCCAGTGAGGGTGGAGTGGGATTGCAGCTGTGATGGCCGAGTCCTGCTTCCATCCCCTGCCCCGTGTGTCAGGATTCACCCTCAGGATCCAGGACGTCCCCTTCTTGGGCATCCTTTTGCAGCTGGGCAGAGCACTGACCCACAGCTGTGTTCTGCTTAGGGGAAGCAGTGTAGCTGGAGACCCCCTGTGGTGCTGTGCTGTGTGGTGGTTGTGGGAATAAATGCGTGTAGGAATATGTAAACGTTGCCCTGGAAGTCATGGCTTGTCTGTAACCCTCTAGGCACCTTCCCCTCGTCAATGATCATCATCCTAATGATAATAAAACATGCATCTAGGTAATCTTGGAGCTCTGTGGCTGCAGTTCTGTGTCAGTTGGTGTGGGATTTCTCTTTTCAGCATCGAGAGGGGACAGGAACAGAGGTCCCCAACTCTGCTGAAAAGGGAATCAGGGACCTTGGGGGATGAAAAGCCCTCTCCACTGTCCCCATCTCAGAGCAAGCTTGGGAGGTGGACGGGGGTTCTGGAGCCCATTTGACACCTGGGGAAACAGGAAGGGCTTGCGGGAAGACACACAGCTGGCTGAGGTGGAGCCATGGGTCTGAGAGGCCAGCTCAGGACCTTGCCTTGAGTTTCCCTGATTTGCTGAGAGGGCTGGTCTGGCTCAGGCTTGTCATCATCGTGGTGCAGTGGCAGGAATCAATAGTCTGTGTCATCTAGCAGGCACAATGAGGATAAAAGACCAGGCTGTGGTTGGGGACTCAAACCGGGGCCTTTTGGGGCTGGGCAGGGAGCAGGCTGGGTGCAGGACAAGAGGGAGTGGTGGGGATTAGGGTAAAATGAATAGGACATCTGAAGACGCTTAAATCCAAAAACTTTAATATCGTGTGAATCAAATAATAATAATAATAACAACAACAACATATACACAGTACATGTTATGTGTCAGGCACTGTCCTAAGCACCTTACATATATTAATTCTTTTAATCCTCACAGCAATCCCAGGTGTTACCATTATTCTGCCCATTTCACTAATGAGGAAACCAAGGTACAGAAAGGTTAAGTAACTTGTCTGAGGCTGGATTTGGCCCACTCATTGCCAGCTTGCCACCTCTGACTTAAATTCCAAAATATCCTCAGGCCTTAGACTCTGAATTAGTTAGACCAGCCCCTGTTTGGTGGATGGATGGGCTATTCAGCTTTTCTGCAAAGAGCTTTTGGTCACCCTCTTGGGTGGGGAGGGGGCTAGAAGGGTGTCTGAGACCCAGCTCCTCTCCTCAGGGAGCTCACAGTTCGGGAGGGGGGCAATGACAGAGGAAGACTTGGGTTTATGAGATGCATTCAGCCCATCATCTCCATTAACACTCACAAAAGCCCTCTGAAAAATTGAGCATTTGATGCATTTTCGGACTTGCTTCATTTTCAGATGGAACCAACACAGAGACTAGGGTCTTGCCTTGAAGTGCGTGAAGCGTGTAGAGCTGGCCTTCCCTCTAAGCTTGGCTTTCCATCCCACCGAGCTGCCTTCTGGAAGCTCTTAAACACCCCACTGCAGCCATCAGGGCACTTGGGGCCCTTGCAATATTCCCTCTGCTCACAGACCCCCTCTGAAGGTAAGCACCCTAACAGAGGTAACGTGGACCACTTACACAGGACTTCCTTGGGGCTTAGCACTTACAGACACTTTCTCAATGAATCCCGTGACTGTCCCGGGAGGCTGGGCTGTTATGTCCACTTGCAGTTGAGGAAAGTTGAGTTGCAGTTGAGTGTGGATAAGTGAAGCACTTGCTGTAGGGTGCACCCTACTCTCTTCTGCTTCCAAACTTGATTGGTCTGGGGGGTGTTCTTACCTCCTCAGATATGGGACCATTTGAAGAGTGAGAAGCCCACCCTCCCAGACATTTAAAGTTTTCCCTCTGCCCCTGTGAGTGATTGTACCAATGCACCATGATAGAAAGGGTCTGGGTATTGGCTTCGGTCCTGGACAAATGATTTGAGCCTCAGTCTTCTCATCTATAATATGGAGACAGTAATCTCTACACGTCCCTCAGAGTTGTTCTAAAGATTAAATGAGATGGAGCCATGCGTACAGCTCCTAGCACAGTGCCTGGCACCGAGTGGACCCTTGATAAAAGGCATCGTTAGCTCTAGTGCTCTAGGACTAGAGAGACTCAAAACTGAGACTTGCAGACCCTCTTGTTCACAAAAAACAAAAACGAAAGTGAAAAAACCAAAATCAGCCCCTGGGGCTTTATCGTAAGTCTGTGCCAGGCATTGGGGCTCTATCCGTAAAACAGTCTACTTGCCACTCCTCAAATACCCCTCTTCTTGCCCCTCTTGCACACATGCCTCTCGCTCAGCCTAGGATGCAGTGGCAGTGAGGGTGGAGTCATGTGACTAGTCCTGGCCAATGGGCTCTGAGCAGAAGGGTGTCACTCCTGGGCTGAGGCAGTTAGAGGCCAGGAGCCTCCTTCACCCCTTTCTTCCTGCCACAGAAGCCTGGGAAACCACGTGTTGAGACGGCAGAGCACGTGAAGAAGGGATTCCGGGCCCTGCGTCACCAGATGGAAGTTAAACACTGCTTACCCACAACAGACTTCTCATGTGCAAGAAATAAACTTGTGTTGTATGAAGTCACTGAGATTTGAGGGTTCATTTGTTACCACAGCAAAACTTAGCCAGTTCTGACTAACATAGAGGCATCCCCCTTTGTTCTCCCTCCACTGAATCCTTCCCATCTCTTCCTCCTCGTCTGTGTCTGCCTTCATCGAGGCGCCTAGACCAGGGCCTGACACGAGGCAGGTGCTCAATAACTATCTGTTGACTGGATGTTGAAAGCTTCAGGTTGCTTCTATCTTAGTTCGCCAGACTGACTTCCTGGGGCTCCCTGACCTTAAGGGGCTCCCCATCTAGCGGGGAGACAGACGAGCAAATAGATGGCGGCTGCTTAGTCTGCGAGGTGTTGATTGCGGAGAGCAAAGCACGCAGGGAGCACACAGATACAGGAGCAACTCGGTCTGGTTGGGCAAAGTGGGCTTCCTGCAGGAGGAAACATCCAAGCTGAGTCAAAGGATAAATAAGAGGAAAGATTTTCAGATGGAAGGAAAGAGCATTAACAAAGTCCCAGTGGGAAGAAATAACGTGTTCTTGGGGTTGCTAACATTTGAAATCTGAGGTGTTTTGGACCCTCTCTTTCCTCTCTTCCCCTATCTTCTAGCCCTTGAAGGGACTGTGCCTCATCCAGGCCTTGTGCTTTATCGGGTCCTCCCCCCTCCCTGGTTCAGTCCAGCCCCCACACAGGGACTCTGATTGCCACCGCTTAGAAGTGCATGAGAGCAGTGTGGTTTGGGGTGGAATCAGGGAAGCCTTCCTGAGGGAAGGGGCACTGGAGTTGAGCTTTGAAAGATAAAGGAAAAACAAAAACTTTCCTGAGCTCTTTCTCTGGGGCCAGACATTGGGAAAAGCACTTTTACTTCCACTGCCAGGCACATGGTAGGTGATTTGTAAATATCTGTTGAATGAATTAATTACCCATCCCAGTTACCCCCAGTTCAGAGAAAAGGAAGCCAAGAGAGAAGTAAGGTGCTTTTCTAAGCTCATGAGTCTGAAATTTGGGAGTTGTCTCTATGCCTCCTCTATCACCCACATCCAGTTTTTGCCGCGTCCTGTAGATTTTACCTCCTAGACATGTCTCAAACCCACCCACTTCCTTCCAGCTTCTCTGCCACCACCCTGATCCTGGCCACCATCATCCCTCACCTTGAGACTGCAGTGGCCTCCTTGCTGGCCTCTGGCTTCCACTCTTGTCCCCCAAACCCATTCTCCACACACAGCCAGAGGGGCCTTCTTGAAGTACAATCTGATCATGGCAACCACCCTGCTTAAGACTTATCAGTGGCTTCCATTTCACCTGGAATAAAATCCAAACTCCTTACCATGGCCCGTCCAGTTGGCTTCCTTTTTGTTTCCTGAACACACCTCAGGGCCTTTGTTCCTGCTATTCCCTCTGCCTAGAGCCCTCTTTCCTCCTACTCCTCATATTCCCTATGATACCTTCTAGGGGGCCTTCCTGTGTTGTGGAGGTTGCAAAGCAAAGATGATGTTTCCCAGGCTCCCTTGCAGCTCGAGTTTGGGCTGCACAGTAGGTTCTCCACGTGGATGCTCTTGTGTGAGATTTAGAAGGCTGCTTTGACTATTCCTGCTGGAAAGCAAGGTGGTAGTGGTGTGTGGTGTTTCTGCAGCAGCTTTCCAGTGTCCACACTCCAGCTTTTGCAGCATCTAGAAGCAGTTGCTGATGGCAGCTCTCTGGCCAGCTTCACAGCTGCAGGAGTGTTTCTTTTTTTTTCTTTTCTTTTTAAACAACTTAATTGGGGGTATATTTTACACATCATAAAATTTACCCATTGCAGGTATACAACTCAATGATTTTTTGTAAATTTACCTGGTGGTATAGCTGTCACGTTACCATAAATCAGTTTTAGAACATTTTCAGACCCCCAATAAGATCCTTATGCCTGTACACAATTAATCTCTCCCCACCCGCAGCCCCAGGCAACCACTAATCTACTTTCTCTCTATCAATTTGCCTTTTCTAGACATTGTATACAAAAAGAACCATATAATACGTTGTCTCTTATGCCTGGCTTCTGCCAATTAGTATGTTTTTGAAGTTCATCCATGATGTAGCATGTTTTTGTAGTTTGTTCCTTTTTATTGCTGAATAGTAGTCCAAGTAGTGAGTTCTTGAACTCAATAATCCCAGTGGTGGCTCCTCATTTCCCACCTTCCTGACTGGCAACAGAGGAAACAGCTTCCCTGGCATTCAACGTCTGTGGGATGTATGAGTGAAAACCACATGAAGGAAGGTGGAGCTGGGCCTTGAGACCAGGTCTGCCTGATTCCCTAGCCTGAGAGGGAAGTGGTGGGGCAAACCCAAATGTTGTAGGGCACTGTGCAGTTACCACAAACCTGTGAAGCTGGCCCCAAAGATGGCCACAGAGCTGAGAGCTTCCATCAAAACCCATTGTAACATCACCCAGTTACTCTACTGTTTAAAACACTTCCTAGGGGGTAGGACACCAAATG